ATTTGCGTACAATGTATTTGTTGTTACTGTTGCATACAAGTTTTTGTTCAGATTTAAAATATCGTTTTTTTTTTTGTGTTAAACTACTTTATTACTTTGCATTCATGAATGTGGCGCGCCGCTAAACCATTTGTAAGCACATTGTATGTTTCTAAGTTTAAACATACAATGTGCATGTTGTATGTTTAGCAAACATACACTGCAATGTGCATTGTATGTTTGCAAAACATACAATGCACATTGTATGTTTTGCAAAACATGCATTGCATGTTTGTATGTTTCATATAGCGGAGAGGTTCAACAAGAATGATGTCCAGAAAATACCGCCACTCTTCATCAGGTGGTGAACAGTGTGCGTGTCCTCTCTCGTGTACTGAAATAGTTGCTTCAAGACAGGTACGGCGGGTGGGATCCTTGAGGGCATCTTAGCAGTGTAATGATCTGCTGTAGGTGTGCCTCCCTCCTGCTGCTGGAAGAGGCCCCGAAGTCTTCTCCAATTAGAAGTGGGATTATGTTCGTCACCAGTGGCCTTCAGACGTTGTAGTTCCCACTCTTTATGATGGCGGCGGTGTTCTTCTCCTTGCTCTTGACCATCAAGAGCAAGGCCAGTGTTGCTCTTCTTCAGTCGTCTCTCTCTCTGTCTCTCTCCTGTCTCTCTCTCTCTCTCTCTCTCTCTCTCTCTCTCTCTCCTGTCTCTCTCTCTCTCTCTCTCTCTCTCTCTCTCTCTCTCTCTCTCTCTCTCTCTCTCTCTCTCTCTCTCTCTCTCTCTCTCTCTCTCTCTCTCTCTCTCTCTCCTGTCTCTCTCTCTCTCTCTGTCTCTCTCTCTCTCTCTCTCTCTCTCTCTCTCTCTCTCTCTCTCTCCACTCTCTCTCTCTCTCTCTCTCTCTCTCTCTCTCTCTCTCTCTCCTCTCTCTCTCTCTCTCTCCTCTCTCTCTCTCTCTCCTGTCTCTCTCTCTCTCTTTCTCTCTCGCTCTCCACACACCCGAGACCTCTTCCTTCCCCTTGCTCAAACTCCCCAGCCTTTATAGTCAGACTTCAGCCCACATTTCTTATAATACTTCTATTCCATGGTATTCTCCTCCCCCTTCCCTTCCCACCCTTAGCAGCTTCTCTCCGTCCCTCCAGTCTTCTGTTTCTTCTCCCCCTCCCAACCCATAAAATCTATTTCCATTCCATTCCACCCTCGTCACTCCACTCCACATTTTAGAACTTCGTAAAATCCCCTCCCACAAGCTTCCTAGTCTCTCTAAACTCTCCCTATCTTTTTTTTTCCACACCTATTATTCTCTTCTATCCTCTCTACCTCCACCTTTATGCTACCTCCACCCTTGTCCACTCTGTGGCTCCGGCCTCCACCCTGTAACACCCTCTCCCTCCCATCTCCACCTCAGACACACCCTCCTTCCAGGCGCTTTCGCCGCCCCCGCCGCCCACGCTGTAGACGCCGCCCTCGCCGCCCCCGCCGCCCTCGCCGCCCCCGCCGCCCACGCCGTAGACGACGCCCACGCCGCCCTCCACCCCCTCCGTGGCCGTGGCAGTAATTATAACGTTAATCACTGGCGCCCCTCGCCCACGTGGCCGGGATCGGCGGCCATTGTGCCCCGCAGGAAGTCAGGGCCACAACCTCCAGCCATTATGTCTGCACCGTTTTGTTTCCTTCAATCAATACGCCTTATGAAATGTGTACAAGGGGTTAACGCTGTGTGTGGGTGGGGAGGGAGGGAGAGGAGAGAGAGAGAGAGAGAGAGAGAGAGAGAGAGAGAGAGAGAGAGAGAGAGAGAGAGAGAGAGAGAGAGAGAGAGAGAGAGAGAGAGAGAGAGAGAGAGAGAGAGAGAATATATATTATACACATTCATACATACATACATATATACATACAACTACTCCACCCACAATATTAAACACACCTCAATGTTTGCCTCACCATTGTCCAACTCTTAACCAAATAAATTCGGGCACATCTCAGCTGGTGGTGTTGCCCCCTTGTCACTTGTGCAGGCTTCTGGGCACATGTGGTGGGTGGTGGGTGGTGGGCGGTGGGCGGGTGTGGGAGTGGGTGTCATAACACAGGGCCATCCCCCACCATGCTCCGTGTGCTTCTGTGCTTCCTTAATGGTATGTGTGCGTAGGAGGGGGGGAGCTGAGTACATACTCTTGTGGAGCTGAGTATATACTCTTGTGGAGCTGAGTACATACTCTTGTGGAGCTGAGTACATACCTTTGTGGAGCTGAGTACATACCCTTGTGGAGCTGAGTATATACTCTTGTGGAGCTGAGTATATACTCTTGTGGAGCTGAGTACATACTCTTGTGGAGCTGAGTACATACCTTTGTGGAGCTGAGTACATACCCTTGTGGAGCTGAGTATATACTCTTGTGGAGCTGAGTACATACTCTTGTGGAGCTGAGTACATACTCTTGTGGAGCTGAGTATATACCCTTGTGGAGCTGAGTACATACTCTGTGGAGCTGAGTACATACTCTTGTGGAGCTGAGTACATACTCTTGTGGAGCTGAGTACATACTCTTGTGGAGCTGAGTATATACTCTTGTGGAGCTGAGTACATACTCTTGTGGAGCTGAGTACATACCCTTGTGGAGCTGAGTACATACTCTTGTGGAGCTGAGTACATACTCTTGTGGAGCTGAGTATATACTCTTGTGGAGCTGAGTACATACTCTTGTGGAGCTCAGTACATACCCTTGTGGAGCTGAGTACATACTCTTGTGGAGCCATGGCAGGCAGTACCTACCAGGGTATACATGGCCGGCAGTACCTACCAGGGTATACATGGCAGGCAGTACCTACCAGGGTATACATGGCAGGCAGTACCTACCAGGGTATACATGGCCGGCAGTACCTACCAGGGTATACATGGCAGGCAGTACCTACCAGGGTATACATGGCCGGCAGTACCTACCAGGGTATACATGGCAGGCAGTACCTACCAGGGTATACATGGCAGGCAGTACCTACCAGTGTATACATGGCAGGCAGTACCTACCAGGGTATACATGGCAGGCAGTACCTACCAGGGTATACATGGCAGGCAGTACCTACCAGGGTATACATGGCAGGCAGTACCTACCAGGGTATACATGGCAGGCAGTACCTACCAGGGTATACATGGCAGGCAGTACCTACCAGGGTATACATGGCAGGCAGTACCTACCAGGGTATACATGGCAGGCAGTACCTACCAGGGTATACATGGCAGGCAGTACCTACCAGGGTATACATGGCAGGCAGTACCTACCAGGGTATACATGGCAGGCAGTACCTACCAGGGTATACATGGCAGGCAGTACCTACCAGGGTATTCATGGCAGGCAGTACAATATGTAGTTTAACCCCAGCCTTGAATCGTTTTTTTCATACTGATACACTCTCGTATTGGGCTCTACACTGTTGTAAACCTCCCCCTCCCCTGGGGGTTCCTCACCTCACACCAGTAAACTTCCGTCTAGAGTTTACTAGTGTTAAGGAATAACACCAGTAGACTCTTCCTTTCCTCTGTCTCACTCGCCCCTCTTGACTTACACTCTCCTTCACTCGCCCACCTCTCTCCCCCCTCACTCATCTACCTCTCCCACACACTCCCCCCTCCCCCTCCTCCGTAAGCAAGAACTCCTGAGGGCACACAGATGACTTTTCTCCAACAAAGCCTTTAGTAATTTCCTGGAACGACGATATTACCTTCATTGTGTTCCAGATTAGGTGCAGCCATGGCCCTGGAGCCGCGCCTCCCACTCCTGCATACTCCAGTACTCGCCACCTTCCCACCGTAAGCCCCGGAGGCCTGGCTGCTGAAGACTAGGGGGTTCACGGGGGTGGCCTCCAGAAGTGCTCTCTGACCCCCTGCTGCTGCCCGCTGTTGTGCAATCTTCTCTCGCATAAGACAGCACATATGTGGCTTATTGCTTAGTCACTATTTTGCTTATAAATAAGTACATATGTGACATATTCCAAACCATATTTTTTTCAAGGCATTAACTTTTTCTCTCAGTTTTATTAAACAATAGAGATTTTATATACAATTTGACAATATCCTGAGTTAATTTACAATTTATTTAAATATTTTAGTTTTGTTTTATTATTTTTATAAAACTGTAATATCAGTATAGGTATAGGTTCAGTACTAATTGTAATATCTTAACATACTAAGAAGGTTAGGTTAGGTTGTGGTTTTCTATTCAGCATTTCAAGGTAAATTCAAATATTCACAATAAATTAGTATGTCACATATGCATTTATTCATAAGCAATATATTGACTAAAAGGAAACCTGTCAGTACCCAGTTAAGCAGTCTGCTAACCAGACAAATTAGCAAGCTAGCTAACTAAATATCCAATACAAAATTAGAAGGATTAACTAGCAGCTAATTAATCAGCTAGCGAAGTATGAAGCTAATCACCTAACTAGGAGGCCAGCTATTTTGCCCGCCAAGAGCGCGACCATCGCACCACCACCACCTTTGATGTGGTTGACAGTCTGATCACAGCTCCGGGGCCCGGCTCTACCCTCCTCGGCTCGTCATTTGAGTCTCACCAAGCCTGACCTGACTAGTGACTTCTGGGGCCAGTGGATGACGGGCTAGTATCCCGGAGATTGGGAGCTTGTGGACTGTAGATAGGCAGGAGGGAGGGGGCTGAGAGAGAGAGAGAGAGAGAGAGGATGGAGGGTGTATCGCCCCCCCTATGTATCCCCTCCCCCCCCCTGTGTATGAACGCACATTCAACTATTTCCAGACCTGGAGCCTTTGTCGTCTCAAAAGGGGGAAGACTAATATTCCCTGCGAGAATTACCCCTGTGCGGGGTTCTTTGTGCGAGCCGCGGCCCGCCGCTCAGCGCCTCCACATCGCCGCCATTATCTTATGAACCTCCTCCACCAACCTCCTCCCTACCTCTTTGACCACCAAAATGGAAGCATTTTTTATTGTTAATATTTTTTTTTTACTTTGTCTTGACGTCGGAGTCTTTTATATTTTTCTGACTGCTGTCATACATGTGATTTGTCGAGTGTCTTGTGTCTGTGGAGCCCCAGAGGTTGTGTTGGTGGTGTGGCCCCCGGGAGGTGTGGCCCGCGTGGTGTGGTCCAGGAGGTGTGGCCCGGGAGGTGTGGCCCAGGAGGTGTGGTCCGCGTGGTGTGGTCCAGGAGGTGTGGTCCGGGAGGTGTGGCCCGGGAGGTGTGGCCCGGGAGGTGTGGTCCAGGAGGTGTGGCCCGGGAGGTGTGGTCCAGGAGGTGTGGCCCGGGAGGTGTGGTCCGCGTGGTGTGGTCCAGGAGGTGTGGCCCGGGAGGTGTGGTCCGCGTGGTGTGGTCCAGGAGGTGTGGCCCGGGAGGTGTGACCCGGGAGGTGTGGCCCACGTAGTGTGGCCCGGGAGGTGTGACCCGGGAGGTGTGGCCCACGTAGTGTGGTCCGGGAGGTGTGGCCCACGTAGTGTGGTCCGGGAGGTGTGACCCGGGAGGTGTGGCCCGGGAGGTGTGGTCCGCGTGGTGTGGTCCAGGAGGTGTGGCCCACGTAGTGTGGTCCGGGAGGTGTGGCCCACGTAGTGTGGTCCGGGAGGTGTGGTCCAGGAGGTGTGGCCCGCGTAGTGTGGGCCGGGAGGTGTGGTCCGGGAGGTGTGGTCCGGGAGGTGTGGCCCGGGAGGTGTGGCCCGCGTGGTGTGGTCCAGGAGGTGTGGCCCACGTAGTGTGGTCCGGGAGGTGTGGCCCACGTAGTGTGGTCCGGGAGGTGTGGCCCACGTAGTGTGGTCCGGGAGGTGTGGTCCAGGAGGTGTGGTCCGGGAGGTGTGGCCCGCGTGGTGTGGTCCAGGAGGTGTGGCCCACGTAGTGTGGTCCGGGAGGTGTGGCCCACGTAGTGTGGTCCGGGAGGTGTGGTCCAGGAGGTGTGGCCCGCGTGGTGTGGTCCGGGAGGTGTGGCCTGCGTGGTGTGGCTCGCGTAGTGTGGCCCGGGAGGTGTGGCCCACGTGGTGTGGCCCGGGAGGTGTGGCTCGCGTGGTGTGGCCCGGGAGGTGTGGCTCGCGTGGTGTGGCCCGGGAGGTGTGGCTCGCGTGGTGTGGCCTGGGAGGTGTGGCCCGCGTGGTGTGGCCCGGAAAGTGTGGCCCGCGTGGTGTGGTCCAGGAGCTGTGGCCCGGGAGGTGTGGCCCGGGAGGTGTGGCTCACGTGGTGTGGCCCGGGAGGTGTGGCTCGCATGGTGTGGTCCGGGAGGTGTGGCTCGCGTGGTGTGGCCCGGGAGGTGTGGCCCGCGTGGTGTGGCTCAGCGCTCAGAGACCTAAGTGCCCGGGTTCGATTCCGGTGCCAGAAACATATGTGATTGGGGGTTTCTTTCACCTAATGCACCTGTCCACCTAGCAGTAAATAGGTACCTGTAAGTTAGACAGCTGATGGGGGTCTGCATCCTGGGGATGTGTGTGTGTTAGAGAGAGAAATGTGTAGTTGATATGATAGAGGAAAATAGATCGAGAGTCAGTACAGGAGACAATCGAAAGGCGGAGTCCAAGAGCTAGCAGCTCGATCCGGCAGCCACAAGGAGTAAATACATACACATCTCACACCTGGGGGACACATATTAACAATCACTGCTCTCACACCTGAGGACACCTGGAGATGACAGAAGACCCAGTCAAGAGTATGAAAGCAACAACATGGCAGTTAACACTATAATTGAGAGGGCAGCCTCTTCTGCCTGTAGAAATAGATCCCACCTGCTCATCATGGGGGACTTCAATCACGGCAGGATTGATTGGGAGAACAAGGAACCGCATGGAGGCGAGGATACGTGGAGAGCCAAACTACTGGAGGTGACGACTAGAAACTTCTTAACCCAGCATGTCAGAGAACCCACAAGGATGAGAGGAAATGACGAACCAGCGAGACTCGACCTGGTTTTCACCCAGAACGACTCTGACATAAGAGAAATCAGTTTTGAGGACCCAGTAGGAATGAGCGCCCACAGTGTATTGGTGTTTGAGTACCTGATTGAAGAAGGGTTATTGAACTCGAGGAGGGATACCGAAACCAAAAGGTTAGCATACCGAAAGGGAAACTATGAGGAGATAAGAAAATGCCTAGCAGATATAGCATGGGAAACAGAGCTCAGGGAAAAGACGGCCCAAGATATGATGGAATACATCACGCAAAAATGCAAGGACGCAGCAAACAAGTTTGTCCCAGTCCAAAAGGAAAACAGTGAAATGAAGATGAGAAACCCATGGTTTAATCAGAGATGTAGGCTAGCTAAGCAGCAAAGTAAAAGGGCATGGAGAAACTATAGGAATAACAGGACACTGGAGAGCAGAGAAAGATACCAGAATGCCAGGAATGAATATGTCAGAAAGAAGAGAGGCAGAAAGACAATACGAAAATGACATCGTAAGCAAGGCAAAGACTCAGCCTAAATTGCTGCATAGCCACATCAGGAGAAAAACAACAGTAAAGGAACAGGTTATGAAATTAAGGATAGGGGCAGAAGGATTCACTACAAACGACAAGGAAGTGTGTGAGGAACTGAATAAGAAATTCCAAGAGGTCTTCACCTAAGAGCAAGGAGAAATCCCAGAGATAAGAGACGGAATAGCTAACCAGGAACCACTGGAAGAGTTTGAGATTACCAGCGGGGAAGTAAAGAAGTGTTTACTAGAGTTGGATGTGACAAAGGCTATAGGCCCAGATGGAATCTCCCCTTGGATACTAAAGGAAGGAGCAGAAGAACTGTGCCTCCCGCTCTCCATGGTGTATAACAAATCACTGGCAACAGGGGAACTGCCAGAAATTTGGAAAGCAGCTAACGTAGTCCCGATATACAAGAAATGGGATAGACAGGAGGCACTGAATTACAGACCAGTGTCCCTAACCTGCATACCATGCAAGATGATGGAGAAGATTGTGCGAAGAAAGCTAGTGGAGCACCTGGAGCGAAAGAACTTTGTAACACAGCATCAACATGGATTCAGGGATGGCAAGTCCTGCCTCACAGGGTTACTTGAATTCTATGACCAGGCAACAAAAATAAGTTTACTTGAATTCTATGACCAGGCAACAAAAATAAGGCAAGAAAGAGAAGGGTGGGCAGACTGCATATTTTTGGATTGTCAGAAAGCCTTTGATACAGTGCCACACAAGAGGCTAGTGAAAAAACTGGAGATGCAGGCTGGAGTGAAAGGGAAGGTACTCCGTTGGATACAGGAGTACCTAAGTAACAGGAGACAACGAGTCAGTGTGAGGGGTGAGGTCTCAGATTGGCGAGACGTTACGAGTGGAGTACCGCAGGGGTCAGTCCTTGGACCTATACTGTTTCTGATATATGTAAATGATCTTCCAGAGGGTATAGAATCGTTTCTCTCAATGTTTGCCGATGATGCAAAAATTATGAGGAGGATTGAAACTGAGGACGATAGTAGGAGGCTACAAGATGACCTAGACAGACTGAGTGAATGGTCCAACAAATGGCTGTTGAAGTTCAACCCGAGTAAATGCAAAGTAATGAAACTAGGCAGTGGAAATAGGAGGCCAAACACAGGATACAGAATAGGAGATGAAGTACTTAATGAAATGAACAGAGAGAAAGATCTAGGAGTTGATATCACACCAAACCTGTTTCCTGAAGCCCACATAAAAAGAATAACGTCTGCGGCATATGCGAGGCTGGCTAACATCAGAACAGCGTTCAGGAACCTGTGTAAGGAATCATTCAGAATCTTGTACACAACATATGTAAGACCAATCCTGGAGTATGCGGCCCCAGCATGGAGCCCGTACCTTGTCAAGCACAAGACGAAGTTGGAAAAAGTCCAAAGGTATGCCACTAGACTAGTCCCAGAACTAAGAGGCATGAGTTACGAGGAAAGGCTGCTGGAAATGCACCTTACGACACTGGAAGACAGAAGAGTAAGAGGAGACATGATCACAACCTACAAAATCCTCAGAGGAATCGACCGGGTAAACAAGGATAAACTATTCAACACTGGTGGGACGCGAACAAGGGGACACAGGTGGAAACTGAGTACCCACATGAGCCACAGAGACGTTAGAAAGAACTTTTTCAGTGTCAGAGTAGTTAACGGATGGAATGCATTAGGCAGTAATGTGTTGGAGGCTGACTCCATACACAGTTTTAAATGTAGATATGATAGAGCCCAGTAGGCTCAGGAATCTGTACACCAGTTGATTGACAGTTGAGAGGCGGGACCAAAGAGCCAAAGCTCAATCCCCGCAAGCACAAATAGGTGAGTACACATATTAGCAATCACTGCTCTCACACCTGGGGATACATATTACCAATCACTGCTCTCACACCTGGGGACACATATTGACAATCACTGCTCTCACACCTGGGGACACATATTGACAATCACTGCTCTCACACCTGGGAACACATATTGACAATCACTGCTCTCACACCTGGGGACACATATTGACAATCACTGCTCTCACACCTGGGGACACATATTAACAATCACTGCTCTCACACCTGGGGATACATATTACCAATCACTGCTCTCACACCTGGGGACACATATTGACAATCACTGCTCTCACACCTGGGAACACATATTGACAATCACTGCTCTCACACCTGGGGACACATATTAACAATCACTTCTCTTGCATCAGGGGGGGAAGTGCCAGACCAACAATCACACCTCTGGCATCAGGGGGGGGGAGTGCCAGACCAACAATCACACCTCTGGCATCAGGGGGGGGGAGTGCCAGACCAACAATCACACCTCTGGCATCAGGGGGGGGGAGTGCCAGACCAACAATCACACCTCTGGCATCAGGGGGGGGAGTGCCAGGCCAACAATCACACCTCTGGCATCAGGGGGGGGGGGAGTGCCAGACCAACAATCACACCTCTGGCATCACGGGACACAGACTTAAAATTGCATCCAATAAGAACTCTTCGATATTTTTTCTTTTCCGTAAGAAAAACCGATGGTTGCAGCGTCACCTCTGTGTCGTGTGTGGTGTGTGGGGGGGGGAGGGAGAGAGAGAGAGAGAGAGAGAGAGAGAGAGAGAGAGAGAGAGAGAGAGAGAGAGAGAGAGAGAGAGAGAGAGAGAGAGAGGGGGGGGGGGGGGAAGGGGGGGAAGGGGGGAGGGAGGGGGGAGTAGGCACACTGAGTGAGAATGAAAATTAAAACAACCTCGTTGTTGTTCCCGACTCCGTTCGTTCGTTTTAGTTTACTTTTGGGTCTCGTGATGTAAGGCACAACAAAGATGGGAGGGAGGGGACAGGGAGGGAAGGGACGGGGAGGGAGAGAAGGGAGGGAAGGGGGAATAGAAAAAAAGGTTATGGATCTTCACTCACTCAGTTCCAAGACCTCTTATTCCAGGCCTCAAGTCTTTGAGAGGTCCCAGGCCCCCTGGTGATGCGCATACTCACCTAGCTGTACTCACCTACTGGTCCTCCTTCCTCTGTGGTGGCCGCTTTTACCATCCTAGCACGGAACTGTGGAAGGTGTTGTGCTCTTGTCTCTAATCAGTTCGTCTAACTGCTTCTTCACTTCTTCGCCGCCACGTGTCAATGTTTATCATTCTTTTGGCTGGTTGGCCGTTTGTCCTTGTACTTTGTGACACTTCCGCTTCCGTAGTGACAACCTCTTGAGATGTTTTATGTTTAATTGATTACATCATACACATTCTAGTCTGTTTGTTTAGCCTGGACACTTGGTCGCTTTCTTATGCATAAGACACGCTTGTCGCCTCAGCCGTATGCCTAAGTCCAGCCACTTAGGCTGGACGGTAGAGCGACGGTCTCGCTTCATGCAAGACGGCGTTCAATTCCCCGACCGTCCAAGTGGTTGGGCACCATTCCTTCCCCTCCGTCACATTCCAAATCCTTATCCTGACCCCCTAAAGACTTGGCGCTTTCACCTGAAAATTCCCTTCCCCTCAGCGGCATGCCATCTCCACACTGTTGCTGTGAGTGGCGTCTCACACTGTTGCTGTGAGTGGCGTCTCACACTGTTGCTGTGAGTGGCGTCTCACACTGTTGCTGTGAGTGGCGTCTCACACTGTTGCTGTGAGTGACGTCTCACACTGTTGCTGTGAGTGGCGTCTCACACTGTTGCTGTGAGTGGCGTCTCACACTGTTGCTGTGAGTGGCGTCTCACACTGTTGCTGTGAGTGACGTCTCACACTGTTGCTGTGAGTGGCGTCTCACACTGTTGCTGTGAGTGGCGTCTCACACTGTT